GTTGACAGTGCATGGAACGGGTCAGGGAAGGATCCAGCCTTTTTTTTGAGGGGGGGGGGGAGGTAGTGGGCCCGACACTCCTAAGGAGACGATATGATATGAACAAAGGTCTTGTTTCGAATGCTTGAGGGTGCTGTCTTTATCACAAATTATATTCCTGCGGAAAGAACTTAAAATGTTTTCTTTTTCCTTTTAAATCAATGGAAACAGAACGGTGGAGAAATCCCCGGACTAGTCTGAACACAGACTCAATATGGCGGGCCATTTAAAGTATGATAACGGCCAGCGCGTAGATTGTCAGATTGACCTATAAAGGGTCACATTGACGTAACGGGGCTTAAGCTTCTGTGGGGCACCTGCCGAATGCATATTTTATTTTTTTCAGGGGGTGGGAGTGAAGGCAGAGGATACACATTTTGCTCAATTCAAAATTTTACGGGGGGGGGGGGGGGGGCACGTACCCTCCCCCCGTGCACCCCTCCTCCGTAGTTATGCCAAAGAGGGGTCAACGTAATTAAAAATCTACGTGCGTACCAATATGGTGCTGCGTTAAGCGTGACGCATGAGTGTGCAGGAGAACTAAGACCAATCAAACTATTGGGGAGGCGGCACAGCCAAGACGCATAGCAACCAATAAGACGGTATTATTATTAGAAGCATGAGTCCGTTGCCTGTCATGTCACGTGTGTTATCAGGTCAGGTGCCTGGTCTATTCCAGGATCCCCTGGGCGTCGTCCCACCACAGAGAAATTCGTAAAGCGGGGTGGGAGGGGGGCGGGGGGGGGGGCGAGGCTCGAATGCATCAAGATATCCACCAGGTGCACTTTTTGTACATGATTCTGAGGAACTTGTTGCCTGAATAAAGATATCTCCTACTTCTGGAGAAACCTAAAGCCTTAATATTATTTAAAAAAATAAGCGGCCTGAAGTTTGGATCTTAACAAAAAAAATTTCAGAGGCAAAATGACAGTGGTACCAGAAACGAACACAGGCATGACCTGGCATGTCATACTTCAGGTCAATCCAGTCAGAAAGCAGTTTGCACCAGTTTATTCATTTTCATGCCTTAATATTATAGTAGCCGGACTTTGTATTAGGCTTCATATTTAATTATACCCAAAGAAAAGTTGTTCTTTCTACCGTCAATCATATCCGAGATGGTCCGACAACATCTTCCAGCTTTATATTTGTTTAACCTTTCGCGAGCGGAGGGCCACTCACACCGTATGAAATACGGACACATTGGTTTAGTTGTATTACACATGCTATTAGGACAGAGACAGGTCACGTGTGAGAGTCAGAGTCCATATAAGGTAAAGTGGTCCAAATTTCAGATATAATGTGTAATACGTTCCGCTGCTTTGTCCAATTGGGGAACGTGTCCTTGCCCTGCGTGAGTGCCTCTTGTTACCAACTTGGTTAATACTGTCATCCCGCTGATTCAAGAGTGCGCTGCACTGAGACAAAACTCGAGGACCCGCGGCAGCGGGGCAAAAACAAAAATATCCTCATTTCATCTTGTCCGGTCACCTCATGATGGTTTGGAAAGAGATATTAAGGGTGCAACCGTGCAAAAAAAAATCCCAAAGCCACTAGTGCTAAATGCCCATACTTAAAAATTCTTTTAAAAATACTCAGAACTCTCACAGGTATTTAAGCTGCACAGAAATATGATGATCGACATGTCATCTTTCAATTTCTTTTCATTTTTTGGTGGGTTGACCATTGACTTTTCGAGAAATTCTCGCCCAAAGAAGACGACCCCTATTTTCCCCAAAGCGGAACGGTAGCCATCTTGAAAAACGATCCCTCCACAACATGGCAAAATAGCGCCACTTTCGAGCCAAATTGTATCCAAAATGCTCAGAATTGGAAGCCCCGAGTCCGGGCCAGAGGTTCATTGCCATATCTCTTCAATACCCCAATGTTATGGCTCTCAGAACTCTCTAATATAGAATATTTTGAGGGTATAACTTTTATTCATGAGCTCGGCGGATGGGTTTAGACCTATTTACAGGTGTGCACCCTTTAAGGAATCTGTTTTCTTCGGGGATGCGTCATTTCGTTGTTCTAAAACGCACTTATCATGAAATAATCATAGTTGGAAAGACCTTTAAAAAGTTGAATAATTAGACTAGTGCGCATGATCCATATCTTGAAAAGTTGCGGTTGTCCTGTAATTATCGCGTGAGGAGTAATCCTGTGGTACAATGTTTGGGTCGTCAAACATCAAACCGTTGGAGTTTTAGGTGTGATCCAAGGCAGACAAGGTTTGTGTTGTTGAATTTTAAATCAAACTTGGGGTTTGGGTGCTGTTCTTCAAACCCCATTTATTAACAACGACATTTTGCTTCTTGGTAATATTGATAGAAAAATATCGTAATCGTGTTTTTTTTTCATTAAAGTATACATTTGGGTGGTGTTTTCTCAAACTGTATGTGCGCATGCGTGCTCTGCTCAAGCCAAAGAAAAAAGTTTGACAAGGAAAGGAAAAGAAAAGGAAACGAGAGGACAGAAAACAAACGGTCTTTGAACCTGTACGAGGTTTAGCGCACTATCCGTATATCAAGGAAAGAAAGGACATTAGGAGAGAGTTTTTGGGGAAATACATATCATTGACCGTCTGAAATTGCCGTCAAAGTTTGTACAGTCTTGGGTCGTCTGATCTTCATTCCGCAAGTCAGCGGGTTACGGATCAGGCCGATGACGGACGGACCTAACCGGGGAGATCAGACGCTCAACAGCCGCTTGGCCGCTCGGCTAAGTCCTCGGTAAACTCCGAGGATTCCATCGGTTTGTTGTGGCTTGATGAGTGGAGTGGGGGGAATGACGGACCTGGTACGTGAGGGCAGGAACTGGAATATACTGTGGAATATACTCTAGGTGATAAAGTCAGCCAGCAACTTAAAAGTCCTGAACGGGATATGTTGAGAATTTAAGATACCTAAAGCGGTCATGGAAATAGTGATCTCGATCGGGGTTTTATAATCCACTCACAGCTTAGCTACCAATTGAGGTGATACGTTGACCCCAAAACGGAGATGAAAAAAATGCCTGACCTATGCCTTTGGTTGAATACTTAACAGCGCCGCTGTCACCAATTTACTGCGCTTCAAACATAGGCCTACATTATTTTATCCGACTGATAAATCTATCCTGATTTTTTTTTTTTAGCTTTGGGGTGAAACATTATCACCAAAAAAATTGTATTACTATTTGTTATGCTGGCCCTCTATATGGACATACTAGGTCCCTTCGAGAAAAATGTCAACTCTTCCATTCGAAGAATGAATATTAAATGAATATTGCCGGCCGAAGCGCAAAGTATGCAACGCTAATTTGATTGGCCTGTTTCGTTTACTGACGAGGCAAAACGCCCGTGCCGACCAATCACATTTGCTGGTAGACTGTCGGCAATTGCTTTTCCCTTCCTTTTATTTTTTTACGATGCTGAATCAAACAGTGAGAAGTTTTAAATGGACACGCCGCGGCAACACATCCACGACTGAATCCACTCACAGACACACGCACATGCACCCAGGCACGGCCGCTACTCGTAATGCTATCTACAAAACAGTAAATCTTGCAAATGTGTATGAAACATTATGACATCTTTACGACCCAGTGTCGTGCAAGGGATGACGTGATTTACACCTATTTAAATGATTGGTCGGCTTCACTGGTTGGCCATAGTGCATGTTTTCATCAATTGTTTAACTTGCTGGTTCAAAGTGAACTTTTCCCCCTCGTCAGGCGTTGTTGTTTTATGTTAAGGAGACAAGACGAAGCTATTTGTCAACTTTTTGAGGGCAGCCGTGTGCGGTGTCTGATATCGTCCGTCTGGCTCATGTTCTGTTTCCCCTCCTCTTCCAACCATCTTCAAGTAGTGAATTCGACTGGGGAAAGATCATGGCACGGTTGTTGGTGGTTTTGTAATCAAGTCAATCATAAGTCAAATCATGAGTCAATCCCAAGTGACAACACTGACAATGAATCTGTTTATCACAGGGTATCTTGTCACTTGGCTTGAGACCAATGACTTGTGATTGACTATTGTGATGCCTTGATTACATCTCTTGGGTATGAATGTGATGAGGGCGACGTGGTGATGGTGAAGATGCGATTATCGTGGGGGTGATGATGGTGATGTTTCTGGAGGACAGTGATAGTGGTGGAAGTACCGCTAGTAATGGCAATGTTGAAAATGAAGAGGAAAACGACTAGAGTAGATGGAGAAGTAAGACAGTTATAATCAGAAGTGACAAGTAAAGAAAAGGAACTCCGATGATACAGAGATGAAGATAAAAAAGAGGATACTTTCGTAACGATGGTCTCTCAGTATGACACCATAAAAAATGAAGTGAATTAATGGACGGTATCAGTGCCCCGTTGATTGTTATTTTAACGTTTCCCGTTTCTTCTCAAGACATTCCTTAAAACCATTAGGCCATCCGCATAATGTGTTATGACTCAATTGAAAGTAACCAATTGTTTGGTTAGATCCCTCTCCATAGCCGTGCCCCGCTGTTAAATAAACGGAACCCTTGTGCCTAAACTGAAGTGCACTCGGTGGAACGTAAAGTGCACCTCTTACTAGAAAAACACAAAAGACGAGAACCATGCCTTGGCTTAAAACGTTCCTCCACTTCAGAAAGATTCTTTTTCTTCTTGGTCATCTTCTTCCTTTTCCCCTTATTAAGTTTACTTGAGCTACTGTTTCGACGTGGTGTGTTTCGCTTTCTTTTGACAACACGGTTACGCAGAGGATTTGACTGATGAGCGGGTTTAGCTTGTCGACCGCATCCCGCGGTAAGCAGCTTTGCTAGGCCTATAGCTAGCTCCGCACGCAGCAGGGCGCGCAGGAAAATTGCAGGGCACAACAACAATCGCTGATTGGCTAAGTGTTTACGCAGGCAATCCCGGCATGCTCCGCGCAGCAGTCTGGCACCGAGGGGTGAGTTGTGGGTATTGTTGGCAAAATCTGTCAAAATACAGGCGTGCCGGGCATCCATTCAGCGTTCAAAAGGTGCCATTTTTCACGCGCGGGATTTGTTTACTTAAATGGGTGGTCAATTTCTTTTAAGCAAAATTTCAAAATAAACACGGCGGGCCAACGACTTGGGTGGGCACGTTTAATTGATGTGGGGATTTTATAAACAAACCCAAGAGACGAGAGCCGGTCGCTATTGGCTAAAGGTGCAGTGGGGAGGAAAAGGGGAAGAAAAAAAAGCTGAGCATGCCTAGCAATGCAGCGTGGACGGAGCGAGTAAAGATAGCAAGCCAAGGCTTTTGTATAACCAACAAGCCGTGGCTGCGTGCGTTTCTATGGCGTGGGTGGCAGAGACCAGCCCCCTGTTTCTTACTGGTGCACAGACATCGACGTTGTTAATCACTGTTGCATTTGTAGTGCCTCATCGGGAAGGAAAGTCAACCCCAAATGAACACACAACAACATTAAACAATCCTAAAACAAAATAATGGGACTACAACAAGAATAACAGTGGACCGCCTTAAATGCGCCGAGCTTTGCGGCACGACATGTCACAAGCAGCGCTGGGACGTCCTGGAGCGTGTTCGCCGTAAGCACGCTAGGCACAATCCTGACCCACGGACACGAGTTATCAAGTTATAAAGAAACCACACTTCGCTTGTGCGATTCTTTTTTCAAACTTTCTAGAACTGTTTCCAGACTTGTTGGTGTTCATCATGGCGTCTCTTGGAGCTCTGTATCCCGGTTTTGCCCATCATCACCCCGGACATTACATCCTGGCTGGACATCATCACAACCCGTACTTTTACAGCGCCAGGGAGATGGCGTATGCTAGCCCAATGCAGCTGGGGATGTTAGCTCCGATTGACCGTAGGGAAGCCCCCCAGAAACCGCCTTATTCCTACATCGCACTCATCGCCATGGCTATACGTAGCGCACCTGACAAAAAGATCACGCTGAACGGCATCTATCAATTCATCATGGACCGGTTCCCTTATTACCACGACAACAAGCAAGGTTGGCAGAACTCTATCCGTCATAATCTCAGCCTGAACGATTGCTTCGTAAAGGTTCCCCGTGAGAAGGGGAAGCCGGGTAAAGGTAACTACTGGAGCCTGGCCGTCAACTGTGACGAAATGTTCGAGAACGGCAACTTCCGGCGACGGAAACGGCGACCCAAGTCAGCCAACGGAGCCAAGAGTCAGGGGAGAGAAGAATGTCAGAAAGACGATCACACAGCAGATTCCTCAGACCAGACAATAAGGGAGGAAGAAGCCACTAAAGGGACACAGAAATCAGGGCAATCCGCAGTGAGTCCAGATCAGGATCACACTTTGGCACGTATGCGACACCTGAGTGAACTCGGTGACAAGGGACCCGTGAAAAGTGACACGAGTTGTGTGGAGGTCGACAGCTGCAACATGATTGACCACACACAACATGACGACCCTGACAACGACATGAGCGCGGACAGCGACCCAGAATGCTTTGGCGACGACCGACCGGCCGCGACAATTCCGAGGTCGACTGGCCAAGTTCCTGTTCCTTTGACCCCGGTCCAAAGACCGCCCCTCGGATCACCTCTTCTACCGGCCGTCAAGTCAGAAGAGCGTAAACCACGGAGTTCCTTCTCTATCGAAAGTTTGTTGGCGACACCGACTAACGACCATGAGCACCAAAATCTCCTGAATCGCAAGAGACCATGTTCCCAAGACTCCGGCAATGAAGATGACAACGACGATGACGTGTCCTACTGCAAGCGACCCTGTTATGAGAATTACGGACACAGCAAGCCCCGGTCACTCTCCGTGGTGACTGATCGTCACACACAGGCGTTCCAAGTGCAAGGGAACCACGGCGGTATCGTACCGCGATCTACCGGGGAAAACCTCTGGCAGCGGGTTCGCTCGGCGGAAAAGGTCGGCCTCAGTCAAGATAAGTACCTGGCAGAAACCACGCTGCGGTATCGGACTTACTCGGCTTTAACGGGAGCAGGTCAGAGAGACAGCGGTTACCCGGCCTATCGTTTGCCGTCAGCTGCTGCTTTGTCCCCTTCACCACATTACCCCAGCCCCGCTACGCCAAACAGACCTTGGGCATACAGTCCCTACATTTCACCGCTCATCTTATCCCACCAACAAGCGGCAACTTCACTGGTCTCCTACCAGTAATCACAGACTCAAATGAACTGTATGTTATCTGTTTTGTTTGTGAAAACCGTTAAGGTTAATATCACTTTTCAAAAAATCCCTTCCTCAAAGAAGCTTTAAACAGTGTTAAATCTGTGTCTGTTAAAACTAAATATGAATATTCTGCGATGATGTGTAATGAATGCTGTAAATAATTGTAAATTTGAATGTGCATTGTCAGATCGAATGACTAATATATTTATACGTTTGCCGTGATAACAATCTTACCAAAAAAAAATTGACTTTTCACTGAAATTTGCTTTAGTTTTTAATCGCCTAACCAACTTTTATTAGACCAAATTTATTGAATTACTTTATCAGATACAGCCAACAGCTAGAGATGTTGTGAAGAGTGAATATAAAAATTGATGACTTTCAAATAATATTTTTTTTATGGTTTCAGACTGTTATACAATTCATGTGAGAATCAACGTTTAAAAGGTAAATACTGGCACCCAAGTCAACGTTTGCTCCGAAAAGCTCAAATATTTTAAGTTCAAATATTCGGTCACTTTTTCTGCATTTAAATTTTTTTCGAAGATTTCACAACTGCATTAAGAAAAAGTTTAATATCATGGTCAAAAGTTTCCCCAAATTAACAAGGCTAACTGAAAGGACATAGGGAGTTCGAAACCAGACTGACTTCACATAAACAATGTTAAGGCCTAATTACATTATGCACTGTGTGATTCATTTCAGCTATATTTGAGAACATTTAATTTCAAGTGGAACTCATAAAGGAGGACACACGTGGGAGTTTTTACCAGATACCTCAAGAAGTCAGCATTTTGATTCTTAGAGTATAATTAATTTGATGCAGTTTATTGTATAAATAAAACAAGTTCGATGCGCAAGAAGTAGACCTTCCTTCTGAAGACAGAAATCTTGCATAATTGGAATGTACTAAGTTGGTTTAAGACAAAAGACAAACAACTCACAATCCAGCATTATGTTCTGAAGCTATACACTCTAAAAGGTCCTGGGTCACATGTGACTTGATACTTTTCCAGGTCAAAATGACACTTTTCCGGAAAGTGATCAAGACAAGTGTCAGTTTGACTCGGAAAAGTATCAGTTACAATAACCTGTTTGTGTTAATATAAAACCGGACGGAAAGTATTAAAACAAAATACTCGGATCATAAGAGTCATATCTTCATAGTTCATACCCTTGTCTATAGAATGTGTGAAATATGCACATCTTTACGCTGAAATCTCAAGATGGCTGTTCCCAAATTCACATAAGAAAATACAAAGACGCTGCCCACCTTTTGATACAAAACAGCCACCCGGTGAATGGAGGTACGGGTCAAGTTTGAGGAGTCGTAAAAACTGTTAAGAAGATGGTTTACCTAGCTATTGGAAGCTGCACACGGTTATAAACGATCGTTCTATACCAACATGGTTTCCGTGTTAAACTTTGGTCAAACATGCACAAGCAATTCCTGAAGTTACACGGGGAAAAAAGGGCGAGTAATCTTTAACTCTTCGCACTATTAAGATTTAAAGTTGGCCTACAGGAAAAAATGTGGCAGATGAACGGTGTTCGGACTGACAGGTTCAATTTGCCTGTTAGCTTCTACGATGAAATTTACACGAAATTATAATTAACAAGAGTTAAACAGTTCCGATTTCCGATATTTTCAAAGGAATGACTCATTCATTAACAATATGGATGTGTGTGTCCAAAAGAATTTAACAAAATCTATGAAAAGATCTCCCCTCTTTTTTAAATGTGATCTTGGAAGACGTTCAAAAAATGCACGTAACATTAACATCCATGCTGATTTTTGGTTCAATTTTTTAAATAAATGTCTTTAGCAAAAGAATTTATAGTACATTATGTACAGTATATTTGTTTCCGGGGAAGGACCAACACACATTTATGAACTCCAACTTTCATGGAAACCAGCAAGAGAACGAATTATGTACGGCTACTTCTTTTTGTAACGGCAAGCTCACACATAAAACTAAAAAAACCCATAAAACTAAAAAAAAAAGGTTTTCAACCACAACCACACAAGAAAACAAAATATAAATCATCAGAAGTAAGAAACTAACCTGTCATGATCATGACCCAGTCAAACATCCTTTACATTTATAAATACAAATTCTCAATTTAAATTTGGATTTGAACTCTTGAAAAACCTGCTGTTAGATTTGACAATAGAAAATAGTCAAATCAGGCTGCAACTGAAAATCGATCAAAATTAGTAACAGACTGAAAAATCTACTGTAAGTAGGAATCTACTCGAAAGGTAAAATAAAACGAGAACTTAGAGAACTAAAGAAACCAAAAGTTGTTTCGACGAGGTTTGAGAGCGGTCTTGTACTTAGTTGTGCAATTTGTATGAGATCATCAACCATGCCAAACAGGGGGCGTGGCTACTAAAGGTATGATATATTCTTTCTGTGTGGACACTTCTTTTGCCCGATAAGGCTTAAACGATGCGGATGAGTTAATACAGGCGGTCTGTCGGAATTTGTAAACGAATCAAAGTGATCAGTTTCTGACGGCATTCCGATGCCATGCGTCGCCAAACGCGACGGTACTGATTCGCGCCAAATATGACATCACATTAATTAATACGCGCACCGCTGCGCTGATAACACACCATCAAGATAAATGGACAAGAAAATATGTTCTTTTCCCCCTGACATTCGCCCCCCTCCCCCTCCCAACCACAGGAACACACACATGGTGACCAGATCGAAGATCTCCCCGCCACTGTCACCATCCCGTCTCGCTGAGGAAAAAAAATTACCTAAATATTTCCACTTATTTTGACTGTTTGGACGTGGGAATGCGAAACAATTTATAGTCGCCGCGGAATCTTCTCCAAAATATTTTGGAAACATTGCGGGCCATCATTCTTCGAAATCATATTCCAATTTTTCTTGTGTCATCTCTCTCATTCTCAATCTTTTTTTTTTGTCTCCGCGTCCATGACGAAGACGGGCATCCGTACCGATATTTTGGTTAGGGGCCGACTGGCCAGTCGCGATGCTGGAATGTTTGCATTTGTTTGTTATGTTTACCCTAGTAAGATTACACTCCGCCAGAAGACGTTGGAAAATATGTATATTTTGATTTCCTAATGGTAGAGCCTGACATATATAATTTACGAGTTGGAGATAAATTATCAAAAATGTCGACAGAGCCCATGGGTTGATGATTTAAAACTTCAGAGTTTTTTTCTCACTCATGTGGTGTCTACGTTACGGAGATTTTTTCTCGTATTACTGAGTAAGGAAAGGCTTGCCAAAAGAAAACAAAATCAGTTTGATGTAATTCTCTTTTCGACCAGCTGGGTGTATTGACATGTTTGACGCTCAGGAAGAAAAGAAGTTGTCAAAAGCTTCAAAGTCGTACAGGCTGAATAAAAACCCAGGATATTTTCACAACAAATTCGATTTGTTTGTGGTGCGCGAAAAGGGGCTCTTTCTCAATAGTTGCAAAGAGCGACATGAGTGAGGGTGTTAGTACAGGGCGAGTTCCCAGCAAATGTTTGCCTTTGCTACTGCATTATTTTGTCCCGGGCCAGAAGAGGGGAAAATTATAAGCTAGTTGTATTTTGACTCACTGTTTAAACTTCGCCAACACAAAACACGATTCAGTACCGGACCAATGAGTCAACGCTCCCGTGAAAACATCGTTATGATTGGCGCATTGTTCCGGCGATCGCTAGTTCGTTTCTATTCTTTCTTTTCACCAAAGGGAAACTCGGAGCAAACGCCTCGGGGCCACGGGGGGATCCAGCCCCGGCACAGCATAAGCGAAGAACACGCCAAACCAACAATCTCTCGGTACAGACTTATTGCTCTTTTTTCAGCAAACGGTCGAGTCGTTCTTTTTTTTCGCCTTTGACAAGGCAGAGAGGGAACACACACCACGGAGCGTTTATTTGCATTTGCTGCCAGTTTACCCAAGTTGTAACATCCATTTTGTGTGAGGGGTTCCAAATATTTGGGAGTTCTGAATCGACCGAGGAAAAACAAATACAGGCACCGGTGGCAGCGGGGGGAAATTGCCCGGTGCTGGTTGAGGACAAAAAGGAGGAAAACTTGGCCCAGGGGACATCCGCGCCTCTAGCCATACAAGAAAAGAAATATTAGGGGTTTGGAGAGAAAGCAACAAGCCCAGGCGACCGAACAGCGTTATCGTGACAATCATAACATCCAACCGATAAAGGTTGGCCAAACCACACGCGATAGTATAATAGCATGAGAAATCAGTCTACCCTCCATCGCAGATGCATGCTGTAATGCGTGCAACATCCCCCCTTCTGAAAAATAATCAATCTCAGATATGGCACATGCAGTCATAATTCGCCAAACAAACCCCGCTCAGACCAGCCGCCAGAAATATTTTTTCTTCTCCGTGGATATTTCATCTCTCACTTATAGCGCATGACTCGGGACTATAAACAAACAAGGCTGGTGTTTCTAAACATCGACAATAAGGGGCACGAAACCGGCCCTGCCACCCAAGACGGAACCAGCCTCAGCTCTGGGTCCTAGCGATAAACACAGTCAATGTCTTATTTACCTCCGAATCAAAGCATGACGGAAGGTAAAAAGTTTCTCGAAAGAAGCAAAGACAACGTCCAAGTATAATACTGCGTGATTAGGATGTCCGTCGTTTGGCATACAGCTGGTGGCTCAGAGACAAGAAACTTGGCGCTTTTGAAGTGGGTTGTTTGGTCGGAAGATGACTTTGACAAAAGAGATGAGAAGAAATGAGAAGAAATTGTGGAAGAAAGATACGGAGAAAAAGTAGAAGAATCCATACAGATGTTTCTAGCATTCTTAGATGACTTTGACAAAAGAGATGAGCAGAAATGAAGAGAGCAAATTGTGGAAGAAAGATATGGGGGGGGGGGGGGAAGTAGACGAATACATCAAACAATTCTAGCATTCTTAGATGACTTTGACTTTTGAGATGCGCAGAAATGAGAAGACATTGTGGAAGATAGACCCAGGGAAAGAAGACGAATCCGTCAACAATCTCAACTATTCTCAATAAATCTGCCAGTAACAAGATGTCGTATTATTGAGAAGTATATTCTCGAAATCCACTGAGCTGACACTTCAACAGGTTCATTCGATTTGAGTGCCCTTATCTTACAGTCGATAAAAAATTGAAATAAACTGCAAATAAAAACAGAAAAGTTTTTTAAATTAATAATTGTACACAGTATTACGTGTTAAATTAAATTGCTCGCATGTATATGCACGGTCTCGGGATGCGATCGCATAGTGATCTATATGCTTCTTGCATATTGCTCAGTGCTTGAGGTTGAAATTTCTTTGATTAATGCGCAAATCATTCTGCAAAAATTTTCTGAAAAATTTTCCGGCGCTAGGCGCCGTGAAAACTGAACTTCCCCATACGGTACGTAGTGTACACAGAGCACAATTCCCTTTGAGCTACTGTCATGAAATTTCGTGGGTATGTTCATGATAAGTTGTTCTATGCATGTACCGAGTTTCAAAATTTGGTGTCACTCGATGGCCGAGATCTTAGGGGGGGGGGCGGAATCCCCCCCCCCCCGGCTGAGAGATGATCCAAATAGCCCGGCCCTTTTAGGATTAAGCAATTTATTACCAGGCAACAGAGTGTGCTTTAATTACCATGGATCCCCCATTTCATCATGGGGACAGTTACATGTGTTTCTTATTGTTTGTCATCTTTATCGTTTTCTTTCTTTTGCAAAATGTCTGTCGTTATTCTGTCTACTTCACTCACAAAATTTCTAACGTTTTCAATAAATGTGTCTGTCTAAAATCTTCTCTTGTTTAACTAATCAGATTTTACCCTGCATGTAACGTTCTTTGCCATGTAGGCCTATAGTACCGGTACTGCCATTGTAACATAAGTGTTCCGTTTATTTTTCCATTGACGATTGAAAAACCAAAATAATGTGATATGAAGTTAAATAGAATTAAAGTTGATTTACATCCAACAGTTTTCTTTCTATCCAACGCCCCCCTCAACCCCCCCTCAACCCCCCCCCCCCCCCCCCCCCCCCACTATTCACATCTTTGTGACCCCTCTAAATGACCCCACACAGACACCTAGTGACTGCTCACCTTTCTCTCCGAGGCCCATTTGCCCCAACTCCAATCTCTGTTGACTGACACAAGAACTGCCGGAAACTTTGGAGTGTTGGGTCAACACCACTTGTTATTGTACTAGAGATTTGAACTGCTTCATTTACTTGGCATTCTCACCTGGTCGTCTTACGGGAGACCCCCGCCATTGTTGCGCGGGTATAGCCCCCGCGGTGTCTAAATATTGTTCGGGGTTTTGAGAGAGAAAAAAAATGCTCGCCCGTTCTTCTTTGGCGAGCAAAATTTCTTTTCATTGAGAAATTACACAAAGGGCGTCGAAATTGACGGAGCATGCATGATGAAGTCGACGGAAAGCTGTTTTATTATTTTTTTTTCTATTTCAAAATATTATTACAGTTTTTGACGAGTAGTCAATCAAAGTTGAAGGGTTTATACGGGACGGGGGTGTTTCGTGATGGTAGTGGCAGG